TAAACTCTAAAAAGACAAGCATTTTTTTCTGTTTAACTGCTAGCAAGGTTCCTAGCTCATCGCTGGCTTAATAATGGCTGAATAAAGGAAACACAGGAAAAGTAAACATAGGCAAAAAGTAAAAATTATAGCTTATATATGGCTTCTTTTCTCATGTAAACATAAATTTGAAAATTAACATTCTTTTAGGTAGAAAAATAATGCAGTAATGTTTGGAAGCTGTCTGGGTAGTTTTTGCTATAATGAATTAACTAAAACACCCCCCTCTCCGCCCATATTAGTATTATAGTCTTAACAGTCAAAAAGTAGAAATAACCCAAATGCCCATCCATTGATGCATGAACTAAAATGTATAGATGTATATTGACTAAATATTAATTCAGTAATTAAAAGGAATGAAGTACTGATACATGTGCAATATGGATGAACCTTGTAAATATAAAAGAAGTCAGTCATAAAAGACCACATATTATAGGTCTCCATTCGCACAAAATGTCCAGAAAAGCCAATCCATAAAGATAGAAAGTAGATTAGAGGTTGCTTAGAGTTGGAAGGGATGGAGAAGGTTGATGGGCATGACAGCTAAAGGACACAGGGTTTCTCCTTGGGGCGATGAAAATTTTCCAAAATTGAATGTGATGACAGTTGCACAAATTAATGAATTTATTAAGAACCACTGAATTGTGGCCCTCCCTGGTGGCGCAGCGGGTTAAAGCACTGCACTGAGAAGCTAAAGCCACTTCCGCATGAGTTCGATCCCCGCCTGCCCCAGAGGAGACGACATGGCGTGGCAGACCTCTCCTGACCCACCCACTGCTCCCCTCAGCAGTGTACTTCGTTGATCTGCCTGTTCTGCTCCCCACTCTGTCTCTGGTGAAGTCTCTCACTGCCCCTGAGTCTCTGGCCTGTACCCCAGTTCTGTATGTACAAATAAATAAATCTTTAAATAAAAAAAAAAAAAAAAACCACTGAATTGTATGTTATGATTAAAAAGCCATTACAAAAAAAAATTACTTCAACACTTAAAAAGTTGAATCTAAGAATATAAAGAACCCCTAACTCCAGCCCATCTTCTATCCTAAATGTTCTAATTATAAGATATGCGGAGGTCAGTATGATCTAAAGTGACATCTTGCTGATAATGTTTGTATCAGAGGCACTTCCTGCAGCTGTTGTAAGGCTGATGCATCATCACCAAATCTCTTCCAAGTTTCCCTATTGTATAAACTGACCTTTAAACAAATAGAATCTTGACTGTCCATCCAGCTTCCAAGTGAAACTTCAGGAGAGTGAAGACAACTGCAAAGAAACTGGGGGTGTCTGGCAGTTGTCTCAGATTAAAGGAGAAGTAAGAAACAACTTGAGGCCCTCCCTGGTGGCGCAGCGGGTTAAAGCACAGCACTGATAATCTAAAGCCGCTTCCGCATGAGTTCAATTCCTGAGCAAAACCGTTCCTTAGTCAAAGAAAAAAAAAAGTCCTTTGAATTAAGAGCC